TTTCAAATGCAGAGAATCTAAAGTAGTTCACAATTCAACAAGAAATAAAGAGTGACCGCATGATAACATTTCAGAAACAACAATACCCCAAGAAAACCTGGAGAAGGGGTAAGGAGATGACAAAATCATTTGGTGCAAAGATGAAGCTTCAACACAAAGAACGAGGCAAACATGTCAAGACAATAGGATTTACAATACTAAAATGACATCATACATACTAATAGGCATTTGCAAAATAGGAACATACACATTCACCTATTTGATGATTGGCATGATCTCAACAGCTCAATAAATATTTTGATTCTACAAAAGATATGATTAAACAAAGATTAAACACATCCAATGCACAAGAGGATAGATCAACATTTCTATTAGAGAGTTCATAATGAGAAGAGTTCATCTGATAAGGGAAAAGAAGTTCATAATAAGAAGAACTTGTTAAGAACTCGACACATCCATCACACAAGTAGGTGGATCAACATTTCCAAGTGGAAGGATTCGTAATGAGAAGAACTCGTCCAACAATGGAGAAGAAGTTCATAATGGGAAGAGCTTGTTCAACCTAGAATCATCCATTTCACAAGGATGTGGATAAATAAAGAGCTCTTAATAAGAAGAAATCATCCAATAAAGGGTTTGTAATGAGAAGAACTCATTCAACTAGAGAGAATAAGTTTGTAATGAGAAGAACTTGTTCAACTTTGGTTCGATTCCATCATAGAAGAAGACGTATCAACATATATATTAGAGAGTTCATAATGAGAAGAACTAGTCCGATGAGGGAGAAAAGTTCATTACAAGAAGAGCTTGTTTAACCCTTGCTCGTCCATCACAGAAGGAGGTGGATCAACATTTCTAAAGAAGAAGTTCATAATGAGAAGAACGTGTTCAAACCTTGACTCATCCATCACATAAGGAGTTGAATCAATGTCACCTTTTCTCGATTCCATCATAGAAGGAGATGGATCAACGTTCCCAAAAAATAGTTCATAATGAGAAGAGCTCGTCCAAGGATAGTGAAGAGTTCATAATAAGAAGAACTTTAGCTCAATAATTTTAGTAGTTTAGTATGGATAAAAATGTTGTTTTAGATCTTTGCTCCATTTTCGTTTCACAATAATGAGCAAATAGGGAAGCTATAATCACAATTTTTTACCCGACCCAAATTATTATTATTATTATTATTATAAATAAAAATAATATTATTAAATATTATTTGCGTTTACAAATCAAACCCATTTTCATTGTGCCCAAAGGTAAAAACCTAAAAAAACCCTAAACCTATTAAACCATAACCTTATCCCTCTATGGCTAATTATAACCCTAATTTCAGGGTTAGCCACCATCTATATTTGATAGCAGCAATAACCACCGCCAAATATATTTCCCACCACCACCGATCAAGTTCATCCCACATCCAGCAGTGCTGGTCATCGTCGCCGTCAAGCCTAGCAGAACCAATTCTCATTAGAGATCTCAACAAAACCCAAAAATTACGGGCATTAAAAATACAATCCACCACATGCAGAGGGAAACAGTGGATGTCAAAAAAAGTAGGATTAGGTGTTTTTATTATAAAAATCACGAAAATATCTATGTGAAATTGGGTATTAAACCCGAGAAAAAAATGTTATAAAGGGATCTTTTTCCTTCATTTAAAAAAATAGAAAGCAAAAAGTTTGAAGGTAAAAGATCCTTTTTTCTTATTTTCATAGCATATTTCGAATACAAAAAAAGGAAAAGTAAAAACCTTTACCTGTTTTTATGGGTCTCGTCAGAGTCGGGGCTTCACCGGAGTAAGGAGTGTGAGTATAGAGGGTTTGTTTTTTAGATCTAGGTTTAAATGGGGTTTAAGGCTTGTTTAAGTGTCATTAGGCTCCTATTTTAGACTAGGAAAAGTAAATTAAGGAGTTTGGGTTTGATTTTGGGGTGTCTTGAGGTTATCGGACGCCGTAGTTGGTGGTCGACGGCGATGAAAGCATACATGGGGTGTCGGTCGATAGAATAAGAAAGAGGGTTGAGAGAGTTTGGAAACTTTTTTAGGTTCAAGGTTAGAAATAATTTCAAACAAAAAAAGGTGTGTTTTATAATAGGATGTTAGGGTTAATTTTGCTTAGGTCCCTAGAAAGTTGTCGCGTATTTACATTTTGATCACCTGCAGGGATTGTTTTGATTTTAGTTTTAATCTTGTTGGCCTGATCTTTTAATTTTTGCATTTTGTTTATTAGTTCATATTTTCCTTATTAAAAATGGAAAATCACGTTTTAGTCCTCGTTGTTTTAGCGCATTTTTGCACTTAGGTTCTTGTCATGTTATTTTTATTTTATTTCGAATTTGGATGTACTAATTGAGTGCTTTTTCCTTTTTATTTGTTATTTAATATGTTTGAATGTTAGGAATAATCATATTTTGGTCCTTATTGGTTTTTCGATTTTTATATTTAATCACTTGATTTTTTATTTGTTAATTTGCCATGTTGTTTGTATTTATTTCAATGTGACGCCTTGTATCCTTTTGCATATGTTGGAATTGGTGTTTGTACTTTTTTTATATCTTTAGTCTTTAATTGATATTTAGAATTAACTTTGTATAGTTTAGTTTTTTTTAAAATATTAGTTTTTAATGCATGTTTATTTTATGTTTTTAGGATTAATCTTTTAGTTCCTTAGTTAGTTAGTAATTAGTTCCTTAGATTTTAGATTTAAACCTTAAGTTTATATTTCTCACACTTAGACTCTAATTTAGGGAATAATTCAATTTAAATCTCGTATTTAGATGTCTGATGGTTCATTTCGATTATTCAATTCAATAAAAAAAGGTAATTAATTAGGGTTAATAATTAGAGCCTTAACCTTAGCCTTTTCATACTTTAGTCCTTGAACTTTCTAGTTAGATATTTTCATTTGACATAATTAATTAGGTTAATTAGAGCCTTCTCTTGAGGTTTAATTTCACCTTAGTCTTTTAATTTAGGGAATAATTTGATTTGGCTTTAGCATTAAGATGCTCGATGTTCAAATCAATTATTCGAATCAATAATTGATTAGAATAAATTAGGATTAATATTAGAGATTCACTTTCATGTTTAGTCCTTTAAGTTCTTTAATTTTCATAATTTGATACTTTAGAATAGAGGAAATCATAATTAATTGTGTAGTTTAATTAGGTCCAATAAATAGATTTTTTATTGCATTCCGATTTCACAACTAAGGCAATGTTGATTTACCAAGGAATTAATGGTATAATTCTCGCAATCATGCTCTGGGGGCGACTACTGTTAATTCCAGAAGTAGATGGACATCCTTTTTAAAATCCTTCATTTTTTTTTAAATTTCGAGGTAATGTCCGGTTATTAGCCACAATAATTGATCTCTCATGTTCATGCTAGGGGGTGAATATTATTAGCTTTAATAAATGAGCACCCTCTCCAACTTTGCATCCATAGCGATTTTAAATTAAATAAAACTTCGAACTCAAAATTTCCAATTTTAAATATAAGGTAATCAACTAGATACTGATTTTAAGGCGTTGTGAGGATGCTAATCCATCCCACGCATAATTGACTCCCGAACCCATTTTTTTATTTTTGTAGACCCTAAACTTGGTATTTTGATAAAAAAAATATTTTATTAATATTACCCAATTTTTATAGTGTCTCAATCGCACCTTAAAATGATTGGTGTCGACTCCCAACATTTCAAAATACCTTTTCAAAGAAAAATCCTAAATTGTACTAATTTTTCCCCACCCGAACGAAAAACGGTGCTGACATAAACCTTACTTAAACAATATCAAACTGAGTCAACATATGATTTTCATAAATAGACATGTTTCTTTCTTTGTATGCCGTTGCATACGTAATACTACAACGTACTACTGTCGATTGCATTGTCTAATTTTCACTAATGTTGTATTTCATATTTCATTGTTTATTCGATTGTCAAGAGTTGGCATTATTACACTTCTTTTTATATAAAAAAAAAGCACAATAAAAATTACTCTAAACATTTGTATAAAAGTTTCTTTGTAACCTATTTCTTTTCGTAGTATTTTACATTTTAAATGTTTTAATTTTTGGTCAAAATAAATCATGTTGGATATAAATCATTAGTTCACTAATACTCAACTAATATTATTAACGTGACATTTTCACATGTGCCTAATTGTTGACATGTCACATGCAATGTTATCATATCTCAGTCAACATGTTAATGTTCAACTTAGAAGGTCTCTAATTTTTTTATTAAAAGGAAGAGTTTGGAATATATAGATAGTCGAATGACATTTTGTTACTTTTAATAATCAGATGACTCAACAAAACAACATCCTATGATTAAATGATCATTTTATAACTTTCAATAATTGTGGACTCGACAAAACGTTACCTATAATAGGGGATCATTTGTGTTTAGGAATTGGCATAGGTCGGATAAGGTCAGATTTCCGGTTAACTCAACTTTTTGAGATAAAATTTGAACCTGACCCGAAATAATATATTTATTAAAAAAATATTACTTTTATTCAATAAAAATAAGAATTTAATTAAAAAAATAATATATAGAATGATATTATTGCAACTATCTCTATATATTAGGTAAATTTATATATTTTTTGGGTCGGGTTAAATAGGATATTTTCACCTAAGTCCGATCCGAACACAACCTCTAAGAAAACTCAACCCAACCTAACCCAAACTTAAATTTTTTTTAGAAAAAAAATATGATCGGTCGGATTGGATTGAAAGCCAGCTTATTTGAGTCTCATGCCATCCCTATTTGTGTTCTTTAGACTACAATATAATAACTCAAAAATAGGGTTTTCTTTTATCTATTATACTAGAGTTGAAGAAAGGCTCTTCCTTAGCAGATAGCCGCCTCTTCTCAGCGTCTAATCTCTTCCGCAAACATGGTAATCTTTCTCTGTTTCTATCATTATCTTTGGTCTCAAAGAAACTGGTTTCCCTAAAATGGCTTTAATATGTTTGTTTTCATGTTTTCTAGATCATACCAGAAAAGAACCGCCGTGAGATATCCAAGTACCTCTTTCAAGGTAAACGAATAAAACCCCATTTTCATTTCAATCGACCCATGGATTCGTTTATTCATCTGGATTCAAAATCTGGGTTTTATGTACGTTTTTCAGAGGGTATTTGCTACGCCAAGAAAGATTACAACTTGGCGAAACACCCAGAAACCGATGTTCCGAATCTTCAAGTGATAAAGCTGATGCAATCGTTCAAATCCAAGGAATCCCTTAAACTTTTGCTTGGATGCATTATTACTGGTAACTTACAAATGATGGCATCGAGTTTTGAGTACTTACCTTAATTTTAATTTACTGTCGAAACGATTTTTTTATTTTAAAAATTATATATTTTTAATTATCTTTTGATTAATTTTTAATTAAAATAATATAATTTTAAAAAAATATATCGCTTCGAAAAATTTAGAATTCCCTTTTAAAAAAAAAAATATGGTTCGAGTCGCCACCAATCTTTGATTAGATTGTGATTGTACACTCAAAAACATAGTTGTCAATTTAATAAAAATATTAATTTTAATTAAAACAATAAGTTTACGGTCTGCGTATCAGAAAATTGAGTTCGAGAGTCGATTACGCGTGAAAAGTTTAGCATCCTACATCGTCCTAAATTGATATCTAGTCGATTAATTAGTTGTTTTTAAAATGAAATTTACAAGTTTGAATTTAATTTAGTTTAAGATCCCTTAAAACAATACTTTATGAATTTTAGAACGAAACCTGATAATATTTAATTATTTTCTATCGAAAGAAATGATCCCTCATACATTGAGACAATCAATTCTTGCTCCAAACAAAATAGAGAAATATTATGGTTCCATTAAAATATTCAGATGAACAAAATCAAACAAATTAAATTAAAAAAATATCAATCTTTGTTGGAAAGAAAAACGATATTTGATTATTTAAAAACGTCAAGATCGGACCTTAATAAGTTTAACGATCTTTCCTAGAAGAATTTAAATATATGAATATTTTTTCCTTCGTTCCCAAATTTTAGGTGCGTTCATTTTTTAGGTTTTACTTGTGGGATACACTTTCATTTTAAAATCATCAGAAGTGACTTTTTTATAAGTTAAGACAGTCTCCTCACAGAGATTTCAAAATGAAAATATTACCCTTAATCCAATTATTTGAAACAAGTTGAGTTTTTTTTTGTGAGGGTATCATGCAAATTAACTAAAAATGTTGTCATGCAATTCTTAAATTAATCATTCTCATACTTATACATATAAAACATATCAACATGCAAAATAAATATATATAACTAATTAACGAAGGCAATTATCTAACAAGGGGTTAAATTAAAATAAATCTAGATTTAAGGACTTAAATTTAAAAGATAAAGTAATCTGAATTAGGACTAAAATATTTGAAATCTAAATCTAAGGATTCAATTTAAAAGATAAAATAATCTAAATATGCTAAATCAAAAATACAAATTTAATTAAAATTTTAACAAACTAATTAGTAAAAAGGCTAATCAATAATATAATTAATCTGACTAAAATATAACAAAAACAGTAAATCAGGGATCAAATTTGAAATAGAAACATTTAAATAAGGGACTAAATTAAAACTAATAAATAATTTAGGGACCTAATTTTAATACAATGAAACAATTCAGCATAGTGACCAAATCGAAAGTGAAAGGGAATTAAGCAAGCAATCTAAGAATTAATACAGTGACCTAATTGTAAAAATACTCACAAGTTCTAGGGTCCTATAAGCAATTTCTCTATTTGGTTTAAATAAAATAAGATAGAAATAACATAAACAGTGCTTGCACATTTGAAGTAAATCGGAAAATTAAAGCAATCGATGGACCATTTTACAAAAATACACGTAAAGTAAGGGGACCTAAAGCTAATTTCCCCTAAACTTTTAGGCCCCTTACTTTTTAGGGTAAATTAGCTTTAGGTCCCCTTATTTTTATTTGAAACCCTGGCAGCCACAAAAAGGCTCTCTCTCTCTCATTTCTTCTCTCAATCCAAGATTTCCAAAGCTCTCTACGTCGGCCACCATACGTCGTTGGCCAAATCCATCTCTGATCGTCCCCCAATCATGGCTAAAGAAGACAAAGCACTCTCCTCCTTCATCTCTTCTCTATTCTTCTCACAATCGACTAACTCTTTTCTCCCCCTTTCATTTCTCTCGACCAAAACCAACGAGGGCCCTTAACGCCTTTCATCGGCGCAGCTCACTCCTCCGACCGCAACCAAACAGCCCCGAACAGAACGACACGCTCCCTCTTAAAAGATGACACGATCGAAGCTCAACAAAACTAACCCTACACTAACATGCAAACGCCTAAACAGATAAGGCCTCTCAATCCCTCAACTCCTAGAGGCGGTGACTAAAGAGACTCCGACGGGATCCTAACCCTGACGATTCCTACTCATATGAGGGTCCCCTAGAATCTATTGATAAAACCCAAACGGCTATGGGAAAAAGTTGAAGAGATTCCCCCAACCTTAACATGACTCGGGTAACAAGCCTCACTTCCCTCTCATCTTCCTTTTTCGTTTGTTTCAGACTTATTTGGTTTACTAACACTAACCCAGGCCCCTTATCTCCAGCGATATAACCCCGAATGACTATGAGACGGAGCTGACGATACTCTATCGACGTTCGCACAACTCAGGTATTCGATCGTCTCTCTTTATTTTCTGTTTATTTCGAAACAAGAACACACACCACATATTGGAAATCAAAAATGAATAAAAAAGAATATATACCTCAAGAAATTGCTATTACCTTTTCTGTTGTTTTCTTTCGTATATGGGAATCCAACCTCCCGTTATTACAAAGCTATTGGGGTTTATATATTACCCGTCACATAATTTTTAAAAGAAAAATGAAAATAATCCCTATTCTGATTTTTATACATTTTCTTCTGTTGCCTTATTTTGTTGAGGGCCTCATTGGCTCTGCCATAACCATTTTTTCAGGGGATACTGTGAGAGCCAATTGGCATTTTTCTCATGAGGCTCGATGGGGACCAATGGTGATGCTACCGTGGCTGTTAGAGGTATATAGGGGACCAGTGCTGAGCGTCTATCGTGGCCAAGGGACCACTGTTGCTGCTGCTGTGGTGGCTGTTCGTGTGAAGGCATGGGGTTTACTGGCGTGGCTTGCTAGAATTGTTTTTGGGTTTGTTGGATAAGCGGGCCTCAACTAGGTTCAGGTTTTATGTTAAAGGTTTGGGTACATTTGAAATGGGTAAATGGGTAGATATAATGAAGCAAATTGTATTTAGACCATTAGAATGGACACTTCTTGGTTTTATGGATTTATTTATTTTTTGGTTAATTGATGTTAATAAGGAAGGCTAGAAATATTTGAGCCCTAAATTCCAACATAATCATGCACGGTTACCCGAACTAAATAAACCCAACTAAGCAAAGGGTGCCCTCACTGCCACTTCGGTTGATTCAACATCGTTACACGAGCAACTTTAAATTAGTCCTTGAATGTCTTCGATTTGACTTGGGATGCTCGAACAAAATCAGGGTATTACTGCTACTTTCTCTGCTTGTTGTTGTGAAGCAATAACAAAGAAAAGACAAAAGATAGCCTAATTTTGTCGGGTTCGGTTGTAAGGAATCGAAAGGTTAGTCTGCTCCATTACAATTTCAGGGTAGGTCTGACTTGATCTGTTCCACTCTTTCGAGAGACCAAACTCGAAAAAATTTGATTCACTTCGCTACTCTTCAAGGAAGGCTGAATCGATCTTGATTTGCTTCGTTGCTCTTCAGGAATACCAAATCTGAAAGAAGAAGACTATGCTCCACTACTCTTTAGGGGATATCAAACTCGAGAAAATTTTGACCCACTTTGATGCTCTCCAGGGAAGATTGAATCGAACGTGATTTGCTTCGCTGCTCTTCAGGAAGACCAAATCTTAAAGAAATAAGAATCTGCTCCACTATTCTTTAGGGAGATCATACTCGAGAAATTTGATTCACTCTACTGCTCTTCAGGAAATGTTGAATCAAAGTCAATTTGCTTCTCTTATCTTCAAGAATATCGAATCTGAAAATTAACTCAATCATTAGTACACGTTTGAGAATTTGAAAACATCATACCCGAAGGTTCAGAATTTGAGAGAATCTTTGAAAATCCGTTTCTCTTGTGGGAACTTGTCTCGCAGCCACCAAATATGGAATCTGCCTTGACTCGAGTGTCATTTGAACATCTCCCTTTTTGGGACTTTGAATTAGTTACTTTTATCTTGAGCTTTCAGCATCTTCAACACTTAGTTTTCTTTTGGAAGACCTCTAAGTACTTAATTACATTAATTATCATGCTTTTATGAATGTCATGATCATGCTTATGCCTAAAATGTGTGTAATATTACGATTTTAGTGTATTTTCCTTTTCAAATGAGAGCCCTATTTCGTTGGCCATCTTGTGACTCGTCCAATCTATAGGTGTTATTTCTTTCAATTGATTGATCAACTCATCTGTATTCGAAATCTTCTCTATTGACTTGCCCTAATTTTCCACGTGTTGGCGAACCTGCAAAAGACACAATTACCATTAATTAGCGCATCTGAATGTTTATTTTTTATTCTTCCTCTTTATCTTTTATTATTTTTTCTTTCTTTTTGTGTTCTTTTTTTCCTTTTTCTTTTTTTAAAATATTTTAAATGAGAAACTTTAAAAATTGCTTTCTCATTTTCTTACAAATATCATATGAAAGCATCTTGTCCAAAGGTCTTATAGTTGGCCCGAATGACTTATCATCTTACTCGAAAGACTAACATATGACCCGAATGATTTAATCATCATGCCCGAAAGGCTTACTGATGGTCTGAAGGACTTACCAATTTTGGAAATAGTTTACTAGGTAAGAAACTTTGGAAACCGCTTTCTTACTTTTCAAAAAAAAATTGAAAACATTAAATAAGAAACTTTAAAAATTGCTTTTCTCATTTGAAAATCATGTGAAAACATCCTGCCCGAAGGTCTTATAGATGCCCCGAAGTACTTATCATCTTGCTTGAAAGGCTGACAGATGACCTGAAAGATTTAATCATCTTGCTCAAAAGACTTACTGATGGCCCGAATGACTTACAAATTTTGGAAATAGTCTACTAGGTAAGAAACTTTGAAAATCACTTTCTTACTTTTCAAAGATTTCATTTTCTGAAAACATTAAATGAGAAACTTTGAAAATCGCTTTCTCATTTTTTTAAATCATGTGAAAACATCCTGCCCGAATGTCTTATAGATGGCCCGAAGGACTTATCATCTTGCTCGAAAGGTTGACAGATGACCCGAAGGATTTAATCATTAAGTTCGAAAGATTTACTACTGGCCCGAAGGACTTACCAATTTTAGAAATAGTTTACTGGGTAAGAAACTTTGGAAATCGCTTTTTACATTTCAAAATTTTCATTTTCTGAAAATATTAAATGAGAAACTTTGAAAATTGCTTTCTCGTTTTTTTTTAAAATCATGTGAAAACATCATGCTCGAAGGTCTTATAGATGGCCCGACGGACTTATCATCTTGCTCAAAAGACTGACAGATAACTCGAAGGATTTAATCATCATGCTCGAAAGACTTACTGATGGCCTGAATGACTTACCAATCTTTGAAATAGTTTATTGAGTAAGAAACTTTGGAAATCGCTTTCTTAATTTACAAAAATTTCATTTTCCAAAAAAATTAAATGAGAAACTTTGAAAACCGCTTTCTCGTTTTTGAAAATCGTGTGAAAACATCATTCCCGAAGGTCTTATAGATGGCTCGAAGGACTTATCATTTTGCTCAAAAGACTGACAGATGGCTCAAAGGATTTAATCATCATGCTCGAAAGACTTACTTATGGCCCGAATGACTTACCAATTTTGGAAATAGTTTACTGGGTAAGAAACTTTAGAAATCATTTTCTTACTTTTCAAAATTTTCATTTTCCAAAAACATTAAATGAGAAACATTGAAAATCGCTTTCTCATTTTTGAAAATCATGTGAAAATATCCTGCCCGAAGGTTTTATAGATGGCCCGAAGGACTTATCATCTTACTCTAAAAACTGACAGATGACCCGAAAGATTTAATCATCATGCTCGAAAGACTTACTGATGATCCGAAGGACTTACCAATTTTGGAAATAGTTTACTAGGTAAGAAACTTTAGAAATGTTTTCTTGCTTTTCAAAAATTTCATTTTCTGAGAATACTAAATGAGAAACTTTGAAAATCGCTTTCTCATTTTTTTTAAAATCATGTGAAAACATCCTGCCCGAATGTCTTATAGATGGCCCGAAGGACTTATCATCTTGCTCGAAAGTCTGATAGATAACCCGAAAGATTTAATCATCATGCTCGAAACACTTATTTAAGTCCAGAAGGACTTACCAATTTTGGAAATAGTTTATTGGGTAATAAACTTAGGAAATCGCTTTCTTATTTTTCAAAAAAAAAATATTTTCCGAAAACATTAAATGAGAAACTTTGAAAATCACTTTCTCATTTTTCAAAACAACTTAATGGTCGAGTAACATGCCCCGCTTCAAAGTAATGTTTCTTCTATAGATTGGGCCCTTCTGTTATTCAGGTTTCTCCTCTCTAAACATGATTCCCTATGTTTGATGTTTGAATTATACATTTCATTTGCTAGGATTTTGACATCATGAATCTTCTCTTTTCATTGGAAGATTATAAAAACCATGTGTTTATATGTGAAACGCAGAATGCAATTAAATGTATCAATGTAATGAATTTTCTTTCATGCAAATAATGTTTGCATGAATGTATAAATGTTGATTCAATCTTCATTTGACTCCAAAGTAGAGAACTTGATCTTCTTCCACTTGATCACCCTTCTCTAGGGTTTACTCAAATATCAGCATAACAACTTATAGTTTCAAGCTTGCACTTTTTAAGAGTCATCTGATCATCTTATGTATGTGTCGTTCTGCCTCTTATATGTATTAAATATCAAAAAAATGTTTCATCCTTGAATTTTTACTGTGGTCAGTAATATGACCTTGAGGCCTCTCTTTTTTCATTGACTCAATTATGCTATCAAAGTTATTTTTCTGAAATTCTACAATTAATTGATACTCGACTGGTTTGTTTTACAAGGTAAGCTCTGCTTAAATTCATGGTCTGCCTCTGACACTCCAAGTTGTGAGACTCATTCTCAATGTATTCTCGTCTAAATTTTGTTATCTCAACGTGATTTGGATTTTTGGTCATGCCCCAAAGTGGGTATTCTCATAGCTCATCCTTATTTAGCTGCCAAAATTTCATCCTTAACTGGTTCCACTCTTACATTTTTGCTACGAGTTGGGGATGTGTGCCCCTTTCAAATAAGGTGATCATCTACTTCTTGACGGGTTACTGACATCATCACAAGGAAGTTCTACAAGTTTTATCCTCCAGCCCTTCTGATCTATCGGGCTATTTGCTTTCAAGATTGTAGAATGCTTCATTATTCTAGCATAGCTTATTCTTTTTCTCTAACAGAGGCAAAATGAGCCTCACCCGCTTCAATGACCTTTTACATTTGAGATCGTTCTGTTTGAAAATGTTTTTCTATTGTCTTTTATTTTAAAAAATCAAAGAACAAAATAATTTTGTAAAGTGCTACCCCTTAATTCATGCTCGCAATTGAAGCAAATCATAAACATGAGTTCATATAATATCAAAAGAAACAATAGTTCTTTTAATATCTTCAAAGTCATAGCTCTTTGACAAGTGTTAAAATTGATGGGTTGGCTTCCTATTTTCTAAGGTTTCAATCATCAAATATTTCATTTCTTTCTCAGTCCTTTTGAACATTATAACATTCCCCTCTTCTTGGGCTTGGTATTTTAATCGGATGCAGACAAAATGATGCAACTAGCATAATGAATTACTACACTTTCTAGAATACTTCTATTTCGGTTCTCTGAAATCTTCCATTTGTTCAAGCTTCATAAACTTCCTTAGCAAAGGTAGTGTAGGGATATCAATCTAAGTATAAAATTATTGAGTGCTTGTGTGAGGTCGACTATAACAGGTGTTCCTCAACTCCCTTAGTTTATTTTATTGAAACTCGTTATTAGACACATTTGATTTAATTTGCCATTGTTTAGCTAGCTGAATTCAACTTTATTGTATATCTATATTATAATCGCCTTTATTGGGCTAAATGAAGTGTTCATCTCGTCACAAAATCTTTGACTTAACAATCGCAGTGGAGCAAACACCAAAACTGCCAAGTAC